AATTTTCGAAAACAGTTTCATACTTGGATTTAAATGAGGTTTACTAAAATAAAATCCGTATTTTAATACCAACTTAACAAAAAAAAATTGCAAATACTAACAAAAAAAACGTATACTCAATTTTGTGAGTAACAGTACCTACATAGAACAATATGAACGAAAGTTATTTGAAGCGTTCAGACGTTCCGATTTTCAATATACTCCTGAAAAACAAGTTTAACAATTTGTAGAAAACTACAAAAAAGTGCAACAAATTTTCACCTAAATTTCAAACTTTTTTTCTCGGAAGTGTTAGAATTTTTTTAATAAACACAGTTTTTTAGCCCCTTCAATTTTAGTCCGATAATGTGCAAGTTTCTAGTAGATAAAAGTTACCGATGATTTTTTAGATTTTTTCGCCAAACGTGTTGCGGATTTCTTCCATATACAAATAAATTGAGTATTCATTATATGGAAGCCAATGCGACCAAAAAAACTAAACTAAACTAGACTAAAATTGAAGGGGCTAAAAAACTGTGTACTCACAAAAATTCTAACACTTCCGAGAAAAAAGTTTGAAATTTATGTGAAAATTTGTTGCACTTTTTTGTAGCTTTTTACAAATTATTAAGCTTGGGTTTGTATCGGGTTTGTCTGAGAATGAACTATATTTTAATTGAAAATTCTTAAAAATAAATAAATAAACATAAGCGGCACACAATATAACTTTGAAATGGCGTGCTATAGATATGAACGATACTGTACATATGTACGTATGATAATTGCAGTTAATGTGGGTTTTTTTTTTTTTTTTTTAGTAATCTATGTGCATTAGACTGCATCACTCCAAATACAAAAGAAAACTCGTTACTGTTCTTCCATTGGAATTATAAAATCTATTATATTTTAAGACGTCCACCAAAATATTTCCGAAAAATATTAAGATTTAAGCAAGCTGGACCGATTTAAAAATACCTCCAAAAATGGAGTTTTTTTATGAATAAAAATAGTTTCCTAAAGATGTTTTTTGAAAAAATCCCCTCAAATGACAAAACGGTTTAAGCTTAAAAAATTTATATAAAAATATAAAAAAAAAAATAATAAATCAATAAAAAATTTTTGAACGGAGATTTTTGATGCTGTTTTTTTGACTTTTTTCAAAGATTGGTATAAGAAAAACTTGAATAACTGAACCTAAACTCTTCCGATTTAGACTTGTGAGGTACCATTGCAAAGATATTTTCTGGCCCTTTTTATTTCTTTGCTAATAAGCTCATTCAAAGGATGAAAAAGAAGGATAGAACGAACGAACATCATTCAAAGTTGAATTGAGATGTGTTGGTATTTGAAAAAAAAAAAAAAAAAAAAAAAAAAAAAAAAAAAAAAAAAAAAAAAATTGGAACACGAATGAATTTTTTTGCACATAAATAAAAATAGTGGAAAAATACCTTTCCACCGAGATCCCATAAGTTAAATCAAAATAGTTTTGGCCCAGTTATTTAAGTTTATTGTAAGTCAATCGTTGAAAAATGTAAAAAACAGTATCAAAAATCTCATTATTACGATTCCGTTGAAAATATTTTTAAATATTTTTATGCAGATTTTTTAAGCCAAATCTGTTTAGTCGCCTGAGGGGACTTTTTCTTTAAGAACAGCAGATTGTGACATTTCATGCTGCTATACCTCATGATTAAATAATAATTTTTTCTCAAAAAAAAACAGAAAACTACAAAATAAAAAGAAATTTTTATTTTTAATATTTATGCGTTGTAAAAAGTCAAGAAAATTTGTCATATTTTAAATATTTGCAAAACGACCAATTCTGCAAGTCACTCGTAAAATTAAGGACCGATAAATAAATTGCTCTTGTGGTACAATACTGTGCGTTATTTTGCTATTTCGTAGAGCATCTTATGAACGAACGAATTATTCAATTAACGCGCTCAGTTTGACTGCTAGGTAATGTTTTATATTTAAATTTTTATTGAAGTGTTAAACACAGTTGATTACAATTAAGTGGTTACATTAATTACTGAACATGATTATGATACTCAAAAAGCCAGTTTTAGGCGTTTGAGCAGCACAAATAGATATCTAAATTTGAATAAAACCCTGAATTTTTGAAGTTTTTTGGAATCGACGAAATCAAGCAATTCTTCATCGCATATCGAATTCGGATAATTTAAAACACTTAACCCTCTCAGCCATTTTCCACCTATAAAAAATATAAACAACCACTTAGCCTAGTGTAAAATAACGATGAGGAACTGGAAGATCCATACAACAAAAATACACTGTTAGCTCAGCGTTACTGACTTTGCGCATCGATGATGCGGGTTCGTCTCCTGCTGATTCTAGAGAAAGATGTCTGATGAGTAGAAGCTATATCTTCTACCGCTAGGACTTTGTTAAAGTAAATCTTAAAATAATACAAAAAAATATGTACAACCACTATGCGCACACTTACCTCCGCCTCTTTCTTTTGAACAATTCTGTAGAGCTGGATACTTTATTTTGCATCGAAATCCCACACAGAATGAATACTGAAGTATCCTGTTGTAATATATATTTTATATATTAACTAGTAAATTTTACGATTAAAGGTATCACATTCGAAAGCTTTTTTCCATTTATTGCTTGAATGCTGGTTGCTTTGGTGGTATGGCAGTATTTCGTTGAAGAAAGTTAAAAACCAGTTGGACAAGTAAGACATGTACACATATGTATGTAAGTATGTTTACTCCAATGAACAAAGTTGCGCGAGCCTTGGACACAACAAAAACATAATAAAATTAATTCAAGAAGCGTTCGACAGGTTTCATTAACCGTTATTAAAATGTAACAAAACGTTAATTCATTTACGAAACTCACATTAGGTCGATTTCTATAGAAATGAATATGTTGATATGACCAATTTGTGAACAATAGCTTCTCCGGCAGTACATTCTACTTATATGCCCATAGTAAGTTGCTTGGGTTGCACATTAAACACGAAAATTTGCGTCGTTCTTAAACTTTAGGCACCATTCTTGATGCCGACGTGAGCCACTCTTTCTTGAACTGATGCATGATTCAAGATGCGAGAACAGAAGCGTCACCGTTTTCATTTAAGTCAACAAAGGCTTGGTTTATTTAAGATATTAATAGGCCCTTTACAACCCACACTGTCTATTTTTTTTTGTCACCTTTTAAAATTTTTATACACATAGGTATCGGGCCGTATGAATAAAAAAGTCACAATCGTTTTTTTTAAAGTAGATGAAAAACAAAAATTTCGCTGGAAAATGGGCCAATCGTCAAACCAGCGCGAAATGAACAGGCGAAAACACATCCAATAAGAATCAAATAAAGCGACAAACTGAAGAATAGTGATGGAGAACTATCGATAGTACGATGGTTTCATGTCGCCGCTACTATCGATTGCACTATCGATTATTGTACACACTATCGATTATTGTACATTGCAGGGTTACCATTAAAAACTTTCTTTCCTACTAAATGGAAAAATACAAATTTTTGGCATTTTTTGACATCTAAAATGGAAGAACGGGATCTGGTAGAATCTTTTGAAAAAAGTGTAAAAAATGCAACACTACTTATTTAGCACAAAATTAAAAATTTTCCAATATGTACTGTTTTTATATTATAACGACTCATTATATGCTAATAATTCGCTGTTTGACACCTTAAAGTCAAAATATCTCCAAAACTAGACTAATAACCCTACCGAAAATGAAAAAGAAATTTTAAGCAAAAAATTCAATACAAAAACTTTAAGGGCCGGTTGCTCAATGTCTGGTTATCACTACTTGCCGGTTAAACATCATTATCGACGTTTTCGACATCATTCATATAACGTCATCGATAAAGCATTCGTTCTGTTAAACTGGAGCTTCTACCTCCGATTAGTTCTGATTAGCACAAATCCGAGGTAGAAGCTCCGATTAAGTACAACGACTGCTTTATCGATCACATGTTACATGCATGATGTCGAATTCGTCGATAGTGTAGTGGTAATGATAACCAGAGATTGAACAAGCGGCCCTAATTGTTTTAGCCATAACCGAAAAATTTTTTGTTTATATATTCTTTTGTCGGTGCTGTCAATTAAAATTGCCTTAATTTATTATGAAACAAAACAAACAGAGTTGATCACAAAGTGATCCAGATTTCTATCAGCATCACATCCATGTTGAATTTGCGTGACTTTTTTATTCAAATATTGTAAAATATTAAGGGCCTGTTACTCAATGTCTGGTTAACACTAATCTCCGTTTAAACATCATTATCGACGTGTTCGGCTCCATGCATATAACATGGAGTCGGTAACGTCGATAGCGATGTTTAACCGGAGATTAGTGTTAACCAGACATTGAGTACCCGGCCCTAAATGAAATCTCATTCGGCGATCACTGAAACGCAGCTAGCAACTGTATACTCTAAAAACCAATGTTGCCACTTTTTCTCATTACACCATGTTCGAATCATGGAATGTTTTCATGATCACAGGGTTGCTTTTACTATATAGATTCTTACTCTGCGTTTACATAGGACAATTTGAGACAAGACAATTGATAATATGCATTAGTTGTCAAATTGTTGTGTTAAGTAGGCGTCCAGACATTTATAAAGACAATAGACTTTTCAGCAACCACCGTTAGTGTCGTTTGGCGTGAATCTCATTATTTACTCAAATATCTAAGCACAAACAACATTTTCATAATTCTGCGATTATGTATTACCTCTTCTTCCTAAGCGAAATTGGAATTGAGTTGATGATATCGCACAAACGATCAAACAATTTTTGGTTTTCTGTGAAGCAAGACAATCTCAACACGATATCGTCCAGACGATTGTAGTCATACGTGATTCATGCCCAGGTATTGAACGAAGGGCCTACGGAGTGGTAGTACGCACCTCTAACCACTCAGCCGCCTATTCTCCTTGTGGCCAACGCAAAACCCATATAAACTTATTTTTTTTGTAGGTCTAATGAACAATCAACCCTACTAACTGCTCCTTATACTGCATTACCGACACTGTACTTGTTTGTGATTTTATAACGCGTAGTTGTCGTTTCCGAATTTTCGTGAACGATATATTAATTTTTGTATATGTGTTACCCTGTAACGCACACCTGACATTTTGCAATTTCATTATCATCTTTTATCCAGTCCAAAATAGTAACTAATTTTTGACACTTTTATTTCCTTATCTTACCGTTCACGGAAAAATATTTTGGGCTTGTAAACGAAAGTGGATTTTTATGCTTAAAAAAATCATCCAATCACCATTGATACCGTTAAAAAATTGTTAAGTTGAAATTAAAAAAGTACATTCACAAATTGGTTGAAGTATGTATATATATATGTAAAAAGTTGGTATGCTTGCCGTGGAGTTGGCAAACAAATTATATTCATACTCTTCGAGAATACATATTGCCACAGCTTCCTCAAAATAGAAAGGTAATGTATGTACATATATAATTCTGGACGAATATCTAAATCGCACAAGCGTGGTAATGCATATGCAATTGATAACAATGGGTAATAAAAAGTATCGATGACGCCCAAGGAGAACTGCAGCGGAAACTTTACCTATCTACATAATTACATATTTGTATAAATGTTTGTCTGCGAAGGGTGGTTTCCCCAACCTTGATAGTTGCTAACAGCAACATAGACAACGAGAATATTTAATAGCAGAGGCGAAAATCGCATACTACAACGGTATAGGCAAGGCGGGAGCGCAGTGGCCTGGCTTAGGTGATAAGAAAAATATGTATGTGAATGAACTCTCGTGAATACACAAAAAAAATAATAATAAATTTAGCTGAAGTAGGACAATATTACTTTTGCAAATAACCATAGATACAGTGCCGGTAAAAAAATAGCACTAGTGCCATGAACTTTTCATTCTGATTTGAAAAATCTGGATGCATCATAATTTTCAGGCTTAGGTAATAAAATTCTCTTTTCAAAAATGCTTCGTTTTCCTTGAAATAATAACGGTTGTCCCAACTTCAGGTAATTTGTTCAGTGGTAGTCGATTTCAAGTGGTAAAAGTAATAGCACTTTCTGCTCATTTCGGTTAAAACACATCTTTCCTTTATTGAAATTTTTTGTGAATAAAGGTAAATATAGCTTATTTAATACATCTGTTGTGTAAAAAGTTGAATTTTGTAAAATGTTTGAATGGCTATGGGACGTGGAAAACATTGCAGCGCCGAAAATGTTAAATTATAAAAAAAAAACGACTTTCTCAAGGCAAAAGTTATGGCGGAAGTAGGCCGTACAGTTGGCTGTTCCAACAAAATGATTCGAAACGCATTAAAATTTGTTCCAAAACCAGAAACACTTAGACGCAAACGCGCACGGTCACCCTTACTCGTCAGACGGCTTATCTGGCAAAGCCAAAAATGCCCTTTTAAGCCAGAAATTGTACATACATACACATTTATCAACACCTTATTTTCTCCAAGTTTGATGCATCTTTTATAATTTCATATTACTTTTGTACTTTGATATATTTATAAAGATAAATCACAGTTTCCGAAACAATTGTTAACGCAAACGGCAACACACAATATTAGCATACGCACATTCTCGGATGGTCTGAGCTTTCCAATTACATATATCCCCCATAAGGATGGCTGGTGGCGCTGCTTCTATATCACATTGTGGCCCTGTAAACCGTCCTAACTCCACATGCGCGGTTTGTGCCTCAACCACATATTCACGAAATGCCAATAGTGATAATTTTATGCAAATCATTCATTCTGAGGCACTGATGAAGGGTCTCAATGCGTTGCGTTGTGCAGAAAAGCTATTTGATGTTACCCTGCACGTTGAAGAACGAACATTCAAGGTGAGTACAATGCGGCCTTTAAACATCAACAAGGTACATGATAAGCAACCGTACAAAATAATTTCTGTTCTAGGCACATAAGGTTGTTTTGGCTGCGTGCAGTGATTACTTCTGCGCTATGTTCACTGACGCTATGCGTGAAGCACACCAGTCTGAAATAAAATTAAATGGCATAAATGCGCATGGTCTAGAGTTGCTGTTAGAATATGTATATACTTCAAAACTGGAGCTAGATCGTAATAATGTGCAAGATGTTTTGTCTGTGTCGACACATGTCCAGATGAAGGCCGCTATTGACGCCTGTTCACATTTTCTTGAGTCACAAATTGACTTGGACAACTGCGTTGCGATTGCTGCCCTCGCCGACTTGTACTCACTAGAACCGTTGAAAAAGAAAGCTTATCGGTACATGTGTTCACGCCTCGATGAATTTTCGCAGACTCCCGATTTACTTAGCCTCACATTAGACCAATTCGAGCATGTGCTCGCATGTAATTATCCTGTGGATTGCTCGGAACAGAGAGTGCTTGAAATGGTTTTGGAATACTGTTTGGAGTCTGATCTAAAACCGGAATTGGCGCGACGTCTTTTCGGAAAAGTACAGTACCATCAAATTAGTGCATGTGCTCTAGATGTCATGAAGACCAAATGGAATACAAAACTTAAGTCCGGCATTGATTCAATTTTTTTGGCCTACTTTCGGGTGTTAAATGAAGAAATGTTAAAACAGGAGGTTGGAAAGTTGCATTTATCTGACACCTATGTCGATGACTTACTCTCGACGGACGTGTTAACGAATACGCGAGGAATGGAACTCGCCCTGGTTAAAATAGGTGGCTTTGAGACAAATGGCCTAACTAATCGGATAAGCTGTTTTCTACCTTCCAAAGGCAAATGGGAGAGTCTTACCGTTATACCGCACATCGAACAATGTACGTAAGCGTAAAAATCGTATCTGTTGTGTAGGGTATATAAGATATAACTTTTTTATAGATTATTGATATTTGCGGTATTAAATTATTAAAAACAAATTCGTGCTTAGAATTTGGGAATTATTCTTGCTATAGCATTGTATAACAATCTTAAGTCAGTTTGCAAAAAACTAATAAACTCCTCGAAGTTTTAAATATTTAATTTAATATGCAAGTGCTTTTTTCTAAAAGGTAAATTAAAGTTATCATTTATATAAGTGACACCACACATATATACATACTACATGTAAGAACATTTCCTTTCATATTTTCATGAAATTCCAAATATTTTCAATTATTTTTCCCGTTCAGGCAATTACGGTACAGCTGTGTTGGGTAATGATTTGTATGTAGTAGGCGGCTCTTATGATGTTTGCCTGAAGGAGTATATCCATCCTTTCGGGTTTCGCTACTGTCCCGCCAAAAACAAATGGAAAACCATAGCCCCAATACAGGCCGACCGCTGTCGATTTTCGTTGAATGCTATGGGTAATAATTTTCTGTACGCAGTCGGCGGAGTCTGCGAACTGAACGAAATTGATGGTGGCGCTGAGCTTTGGGCACATGATATGGCAGTTTCAAATTGCGAACGCTATGACGCAAATGCTGATCGCTGGGAGTACCTGCCAGCGCTGTCAGAGAATCGAAGTCAGCATGCCGGCGTCGTCTTGGGTGACCAACTATATATATCGGGTAAATAAACAAGTTGATACACATAAG